AATCCAACCACTCTTCTTTGCACAAGCATGTCCCAAAAAAAGACAGATGAAAGCAGATTTTTAATAGAGAACTAATGCACATCAGTCTGAAAAAATATTAAGCCGCTGTGAGTGTAATGGATGGCCTTCTTTTTCCTGATGTAAATATTTCAGGTATCACTCAGTATTTTGGGTATTTTATTCCTTATTAGAGAGGAAATTAGTGGAAAGAAGAGACGTGGTGGACTGACACTTTGACATAGTCTGACTGTGGCTTAAATCCTTAATCCCGCCCCCTTTGATATCAGTTTGATTCATTGTTTAACATTTATTATTTGTTTACATTTGTTCTCTTCTGGGCAGTCTAACAACTCTACATTTGTGATTTTTAAAGGGGACCTGTAATGAGTTTTTTTTTGCAGATGTTCATATATGGCTGAAGTTTCCTGTTGTCAGATCAACATATGTCCAAGCAATCACTGTGAACCAAAGGGTCAGAGTTCAAAATATTCAAAAAGCTTGGTTTCAGGGGTTATTTTCTACTCTTGTTAGGTGAGGGCTGTGTGCGGACAGGGATAGGACCCAAGGTGCAGACTCCAGAGACAGATGTGAACTCAAATATAACATAACTGGAAACAATCAAAATAAACTAACACCAGCAGACTGACAGAACACACAGCTTGGTAAACGGTAGATCGCGACACAGACACAGAGAAACACAGGGCTTAAATACACAGAAGGAGCAATCAGGGAATGAATAACAGGAGGGAAACACAGCTGGGGCAAATCAGAACTGACGAGACAAAAGGAAGCGTAAACTGAACACACTGAGATAAGACAGAGACCTTCAAAGTAAAACAGGAAACACATAACACAGACTCACATGCAGGCACTACAGAGGGAACAGAGACGTGGGACCAGGGCAGACACAAACACTGACTGAACACGGGGATATAGGAACTAAGGATACACAGAGACGCGAACTAGACAAGGGGATACAGGTGATAGGGGAGACAGAGCAACTAAAGAAGACAGAGACATAAACCATAAGACAGAACTCAAAGAAACCAAAGACTAAAAAGTATAAATAATATAATAAACTCAAATACCCTGGGTCAACGACCCAGGCATCCTAACAACTCTTGGCTATGAAGTAGAGTGGATTTCCATAAAATCCCTTAAACAAAGGAGTAAAAGGGGCTAAAACAGCTTATTTCAGACAATAGTTGAACACTGGAGCGACATCAAAGTCCGGTATGAGTTAATCAAGGCTTATTGTGACTGAATTATGCAAAGCTACCCTGAATCTGAAATTAAAAATACAAAGTTGGAAAAAAGTACAATGGGTTTCTTTTAAAACTGATATATTAATAGAAATGTATTCATTTATTAGACAGAAAGCGTTTAAGTACCAAATTCCCACGAGTCCATTTTATGGAAGTTTGTTTTTGGGTTTATCTGAAAAGCTCAAGTTATGCATCTTGAAATTCAGAGTAATTAACTCAAAGTTGTAGTAAAATTTCAACATTAAAAAAAAGAAATTTAAACAATCCAGTGGTGGCAACAAGCTTTCATATTTTCAGTCACCAGCAGTATTAAATGTTCTATTTCTTGTGATTTTGGCTCCACTCTCCATAAGCAACACAATGTTTTATGATTTTCCACTTTCACACACCCATAAAGGTACCGTTACAGATCAGAAATCTGCGTTTATGAATTTCAGAAACACAAAAAGTTACTTTTTTGTCTATTTTTCCAAGCGGTCTCTCTTGCATCTGGACTCTTTGGAGACCTTTCACCTTTCTGCCTCACTCTTCACCCTCAAACTTTCCCGTTCACCAACCCTTGTCCACGTCCATCCAACCCCCCCACCCCTGAGGTGAAACCTTACTCGTCGATAAATTTAGCAGCAGTGTGATCCAACGTTCACTGACACACTTCTCCCCAGTTCTCCCTCTGCCTCTCTCTCTGACGCTGTTTGCCTCTCTTTCGGGCCATCTCTCCCAGGAGGCTTGTTGAACAGACAGATGGAAGGCTTTAACCTTTACACAAAACAATAACAAGCTATTGACACTATTTAGCAATGTGACATTTCACCTTTATGCTATGGAAGTAACATCCAACTGTTTAATTATTACATTAGAACTACCCCTGTAATTGAAAAAACGTGTCCGCATTATCGTATGAAATTTAATGGCTTAATCGTCTACATTGCAGTCATTCCAGCCCACGGGACATTTGGCAGGTGAACGTTATCCCTTTTAGTAGCCTGTAACATTTGAGACTTATGGGATCTATTTCACTGCTGTTGACATTCTCACAGATTGAGACTCGTCTCCTCACACAACCTCGCTTTTAACCTCATCCATCACATCAACTGTTACACACAACCAGATGTAAAAAGCAGGCACAAATATACACTGTGTGTGTGTGTGTGTGTGTGTGTGTGTGTGTGTGTGTGTGTGTGTGTGTGTGTGTGTGTGTGTGTGTGTGTGTGTGTGTATCTTCACAAGCAGCGATTTGCTCTTGTCACTGTGGAAACGTCTGTCAGTGTGACAAGAGTCCACAGAGGGAGCTTCCTCTTTGGGAAAGTGAAGAGTCACCAACAGTTGTGTGATTTTAAATTAATAAACACTACTCTGCAAGGCCAGTGAGCATTAATTTTTGTGGGTGGATAATTTAAAGATCCATCACTTAAATGTCATTAAATATCACAGAAAACCAGATAAACAAAAAAGAAACTAAATTAATTCAAATCTTTTATTAGCTTTTGTCTAAAGTTGAACTTTTCTAATTATTATATTGGTATTTTTAAACTTCTCCATATTCTCTACCCTCATTGGACTGACAGTGCAAGTCTTTTGGTGTTGCCTGGGCTAAACTGTTGACTACACCTGATGAGGTGTGGATAAAGACATGCCCGAGGCCAAATTGAAGGGTGGACAGCATTTCTTTCCAGACATCCTCATGATCTCTTCACTGCCTTTTTAAAAAAGATTTTTTAGCTGAGATTATTAAGCAATTTAACAGAAAACCCATAGGTTAGTGGTTTCCACATTCACAGAAGGGTCCCTGGTTCAGTCCCAAATCCTTTTGGTTTAAGGAAATGCATTTGGCGTAAAAATCTGCCAAATTAAAAATTTGGTGCTAACTGTATTGGCGAATCATTGCGAATAAGGAAGCAGCTTAAAATTGCTTTTATTCCTAAAAGCTCTGGTCAGTCCGCACACTTTTGTGCCAGGAACCTCCAGAAACCACTGCCAACCAGTTGGGGAAAACACATTTTTCCAGGGCAACCAGTGTTTGGTCCATAGCTCGAGAGTAATCTGCGCATGAGGTCACATGAGAAAAAGAAAAAAAAAAAAAAGAGGTCACACTTTTGCTTGTTATGAAAATGTATAAATCAGTCGACTGGTGCCACTAAAATCTTTCGTCACCTAGTTTGTGTAATTTGTGAAGAACCAAATCATGTAAGTGAATGAAAACTAAACATTAACCTTCTGAGGGCAAAGTTACTTTTTTTTGTAATACGGCTTCATTCATCACACAATCCTCTAAAGCAAAAACTGACCCTCGAGTGCTGTTTGAACATCATTGAAAGGCTTGTTGTGAATTAAGTTGAAATAACAGTTATATGTGATCTAAAAGCAAATCTCAGGCGTAACATCAACACTTACTGCACCTAAAAACAAGCACTAAAAACAGACAGTCATCTTCAGTTTAAGGCACCAGTGTGAATCTGTGAACCAGCCAAACTAACCACAGGAGAGTTCTCCTGATCAATAAACAAATTATATCAGGACGATCTATTAACAGCTCTGCACATAAAATCCTCTGATCCTTCAAGGCTCGAATTTCCTCTCACGCAGACACAGCTTTCACACCTGAGAGATGTGTGACTTCACAGAGACATTAAGCTTGTAAACAGCGTGATTTAATTAATTGTCTTATTTATATCTGACTTGTGCAGCACCAAGGGACTGAAGGAGGACCAGGGATTTGGGATTTGCTCTGGACAATCGTCCATCTTCTCAAAGGCGAAGAGGAAGACGAGCAGAAGGACGGACTGACACACTGCTGTTGCTCCTCCGCACTTGATCAGTTACATGAATATACACAGCCCAGCTGCTCCAGCCTCAATTGCTCATTGTCTTGTCTCAAACTCACAATCAGCTCTGCAGAAAAGAGCATGCTGAAGCTGTTAGTAATCTATGACCACAGCAGAGAAGAGAATAAAAATGCTAAAAAAAAAAAAGAGTCAATAGTGGCTAAATGTCACCAGACATCTTGAGATGCTCCTGGGAGGAATGACTATCATTCTGGATAAGCATTTAAACAGATGAACTGGAGGATAAAGTGACATGACTTCATCTCACCACGTACATCTAACCTGTCTGCTCCGGTTTCCTGTATATAGGTATTTATATCCACCGCCACATGTAAACAGCAATGACTTTACAAGGCATCAGAAAGAAGATGCACATGAGTCGCAAAAGAAATGTAAACGATCGAGGGTTTTTTCCATTTTCCCAGGGATGACTTTCCATTTATCGCCTTCACTCAGCTGGTTGAGGCGTGGGCGGTGAGAAATTGTACAGACTGTTCGTGTCTATCCGAGCTGCAGAAATAAAGTTGACATGAAGTTGCATAAATCTTGTTCGAGAAGAAAAGACAGAGTTGGGGTGGGTGGGGGGAGGATGAGAGCGGAGATGAAGATTATTGATTTAGTAGGAGAGCACGAGGAGGACTTTGTATGATGGAGCAGAGAAGCATGATGGGTAGAAAAAGTAGGCGTAGGAGAGAAGTAATGAAGGCTAGACCAAAAAAAAAAATAAATCATTAAGAATGAAGAACGGTTAAAAAAAAAGGGTTTGAAGAGAGGAAGTGACAGGTGAATTGATGGAAAGATGAGAGAGAAGCAGGTGTGATGGCAGAACAAGAGAAACGAGGGAAAACCTTTGGAAGTTAAAGATAGGACAGCATACAGGCAGGCAAGTAAAGGAAGATTGGGAAAGACCTACCAGGGTCTGTTGGTATCTCAGAGCCTTCCTTTGCGATGCATCTGCAGCCATTGACACGCTGTCACTGATCCAAAAATAATCTCGCTGGACACCCCAGCATTTCTAATGGCGTGGGCAACAGCAATGCCACACACACATACACAAACACACACACACACGCTGCCTTATTGTATACCCACTTCACACCAGGTCAAAAACACCACAAAAACATCTAAAGTTTCTCAGTCTCAAACACACTCATTGCATAGAGATAGTCCGTAAGCACAGGTGAGGTCCATCCCGAAAGCGCCTTTCTCCAGATGACCCACAGTCTAAGAGCCATCCAGCTCCACCGCAACACCGACAGACACAGACAGAAATCAGAAAGGCAGACAAAGCAGAGCAAAGCCATCTGATGAGGCAGTGAAGGACACACTGCTTTCCTTTATTAGAACTGCAGACACCTAATAACACACACACACACACAACTTGTTGCCCTAAGCAGCACCCTCCCTGCCAGACGGCCATTAGGTGTGTATGTTTGGATGGCCTGTTCTTGTTTGGACAGGAGTGTTGAGAGGGGTGGTAGTTGGAAGGATCCCCCCCCGCCCCAACATAGGGCTGCCCCTGCAACGTGAGCAGGAAGGTGCACATGACACCCCTATGACAGCCCGCACCTATTCAGCCAATGCCGCAAGGCAATCCCCGTAACACTCACATGCTATGGCAGCCCTCTCTTAGAAGGAGGGGGAAAGAAAAAAAAATCACCCCTAAACACACCCCCAATAGCAAGAGCTCAGCTCATACTGATCAGCTCTGCACAGGCTCCAGGTACCAAGAGGATAAGCGAGGAGGTGAATTTGTGCTTTACATCGGGCCTTTGGTGTGCTCAGCCAACATCCCATTCAAGCAACTTTAAATTAAACATCTCTAGTTCACTGGCGGGTTTCTCCTCTGGTTCCTCCTCCTAACCCGTTGACACCGGCAGCTATTATGACAACCACAAAGGCACAGGCAGATCCCCCCCTAACCCAGCCCTGCTTTGTGGCCCACACGCTAATGCATAACAGCCTGATCTCACAGCTATACCGGAGGCCAGGGAGAAATGTGTTACACAGACCACCGGCGTGTGCGTGTATGTCAAACGAGAATGATTGTGGACAGCTGGCCCGGGGGGCTCTATCTGATACACTAAGAACATTATCAGTGGGTGGCGGGCAGTGTGAGAGATGTGTACGTTGTCCCGGTCGCAGCACGACCTGAGCACAGCGGAATAGTGGGGAGCCAGTTATACTATACCTGAGAACGGAGGGGGACAGGCTGAACGCCGGGAACAACACACACAAACACAGCAACAAGGAGGATCAAATGGAGCGGAGCATGCACAGGAGCGGCAACAGTGTACATTTGAGCAGAGGGCCTTGACTTTACGGATGCAACGTGATCTAAACCTGTGCATAAAAGCTGTCGTTGCAGAAAATGCAATTACAAACACAGCTTTAAGAACAAACACAGACATTTTTTATTGTTTAAAACCCACAGCCTTTTATTATACTCAACATTTGGCAGTAATTAATATTGAAGTCTCTCCTGCCCCCTCCCCACCCTACATCACATCACCCTACAAAGCACTTCAGCAGAGTTTGGCAGCAAAACGTCTCATTCTACAGGAAAACTATCCTCTTATAACAGTCCAATCTTTTCCTCTCTTAAGTTATGTTTCTTAATTATTAAAACTAAAACCTAAGTGGAGTGAGCACGCTTCAGACCAGGGTAAACTCTGCTAAGACCGCCTCATACACAGGATCTTTAAAATCATCCCTTTACTGATAGTTAACAATCAATACTGTTTCAACCACTGTGCCCCTCACTGCAACACTGCTGTAACTAAAACATACTTTGCCTGGTCAGTTTTCTTTTCTTTCTGGGAACCATAAATTCTGGAGCAGCTTTCAGAAATACTTTGTTTGGAGGTGTGCCAGAGACTTATAATATGCTATGAAAGCAGCACCATGGTCATAAACTTATCCAACACATCATCCTCAGCTGGCACAGGCTTTTTTTAAATGGAAGACACTTTTTTATGTGTTGTGCATCGATTATAGTAAAATACAATGGCGAGACTGACTAAATATGCAGCTCCTATGCAGGAACAAACACTACAAGTGAAATGTGTAAAGGTCAGAGTTCATACTGTCTGTAAGTGACCCTACATGTAGCACCAGACTGCACTCCACCACCCTGACAGAGAAATTTACTAAATATCAGTAAATGTCAATTTAAAGTGAGAAGATAAACTTCATACTGAAGCTGCCCTGTAGGTGTTGTTCTTTTCGTAAGGCAAACTATGTGAGGAAAAAAAATCATATATTTTAATTTAATAGTTCAAAAACTCTATTGTTTAATTTTAAACATAGCTGTCTGTAACCATGGCTGCCATGACAATAAAGCTCTTCTTCAACTGAAGGAGATGTTAATATTGATGAAATCAAGATGCTGAAATGCATTTTGCTGCGCTGCCCCCTGCCTGTCACTTCGTTAATAACAAGAAATGTTCATAACATTTAACATACATTATGTACAAATATAAGAATGGGCCTTACAATCCTTATAAAAAGAATTCCATACAAAATAAAGCCACAAAAATAGATCTGTGTACAAAATACATTTTAAAAAGAGGCTTGTGAAAGCTCAAAGTAGCTGTGCAGTTTGACTGCAAAGGATTAACATCTAAACCCTCTAACTGGCATAGACACAGACACACAAATATATACATGAGCACATTGTATGCCAATAGGTTGCCCATTTCCATGTACATGTAGATTAACAGAAGCTCGCTCCTTTTTTCTTTCCAGGATTTGTGTATATGTGTGTGTGCTTGTGAATGTCTAGTGGTTTGAATGGACAAATTAAAACCACTAGACATTTGGATGTCAAGTTGTAACAGGGGGGAATGTGTGAGTGTGTGATGTGCAATAAACAGCTGTGATGCCCTTACTTCAGGCTTCAATACAAGGAATGATCTGTGTGTGTTAATGTGCATATTAATACTGGGGTTGGTGTTTGGGGAAAAAGTAGAGGTCTTTGCACAATGAGCTGGTGAACTCTGACATTTCTTTGCAGCGGTGGTGGGCAGTACCTGGGGCGTAGCCCTCCCTCTCCTTAATACGACTGTTCACCTGGGAGAAAAAGAAAAAAAAAAGACATGTTGGTTTCAAAAATGTATTATATATCAAAATAGCAGTTTGTAATCTGCAACTGCAGTCTGAAAAAACATGTTTACCTGCACCAATATGTCCGCAAGGTGGGTGTCTCTGGCGTGGAGGCGGAGTGCTGAGTTGAGTTCCTGGATAAACCAGGATCCTCTCTTAGTGTTTCGCATGGCTGCTGTGCCTTGAGGAGGAAAAGATCAAACAGCAGAAGTGTAATACATCAAGATGAGACACAGAAAGACAGAGCGAAGGTGTTGTCTGGTAGAGCTTTACGTAATAAAGCTTTACATAATAAGAATCAATTTCAGATCCACTTTTGATTCGCTTGTGCACAAAAAAAACCCTCTCAAGCAGAAATTTTAATTGCACTGCACAAAAAGCAGAAATAATGATTAGGGCCAAAGATAATTTAAAAAAGAAGAATTACAAAACCATTACTGCTGATCCCGATGGCCTCATTAGTTTTCCTCTTACACCAGTGTTTCAGTTAATGAATAAAATATCATATATAAACCCACCCCAGAATAACAAATTAGATAAACTTACAAATTCTCTGACCTTTGAGAGACGCAAAGCCACAGATCATGTCCGACCGCTGGGGAAGTTTAATCCTGGGTCTTCCTGTGTCCCCCCTCTGTCTGGAGTCTGCATCCCCCTGTCCCTCCCTGCCAGCATCCCGCTGTTCACAGCTTGGTGAGCACGTCCTCTTTGGCCCGTCTATCTGCTCCACGCCACAGTCCATCTCCTCTGGAAGACAAGTAAGTTTCAATTAGGCCCAAAAAGATCTAGCAGCAATATTATTGCAATAACTGGGTTGGATTACTGCAGTTTTTAGTCATTTGTCTCAAATATTCTTTAATAATGAATGCAACTGTCCACCAAAGGGGTAAAGCATTTTATTGACACTATAGGCCAGTGAAAACAAACCAAAGCAGAAGAGATTAAAACTGAAAGATTAAAAAATGCATGTGTGATTCAACGCTGCACTGTAACACCACCTGAGCAGACATAGATGGAGCAATGAAGCTGTGCCTGCTCAGTTAGCATGCTTCTCAAGCTGTTGCCCCAGTCTTAAAAAAGCTAAACAGCTTGAACTCAATGGGTTTCCTGCAGCTCTTTGATAAACTCAAGTATTATTCCAAATGAATTCTGGAAAAAGTCTGAAAGCGAAGCTATCACTGGCATTTAGCATGAGCCCTGGTTGAAATGTTTTTCTAAACTTCTGAACGGCAGAAAACGAAGAAATCTTGCACTGAAATTTACATAGCACTTTTCTAGTCCTCCTGACTGCCCCCAAAGCACTCTACACCACAAGCCACATTCACACAGCACTACGCCGCAGGCACTTTGAAGCCTTTAGCTATCCATCCATCCATTTCTTTAACCGTTTAAAGGACTCAGGGTCACAGGAGAGCTAAATCCTATCCCGGCTAACATTGAGTGAGGAGTGGCATACACCCTGGACAGGTCTCCAGGCTATCACAGAGACATTCACACCGGCGGCCAACTGGGAATCACAAATTCCACTAACGTGCATGCCCTAGACTGGTGGAGGATCCTGGGTTACTTGGAGGGAAAACCATGCAGGCACACAGAGAACATGTATATTCCACAAAACAAGGACCCTCTTGCGGTGACCTCACAGTGTTAACCACTGTGTTGCAAACAACACTTACTTATTTTTCTTACTTATTAAGAAAAACTGGCAGTATACCAATGTATCCATGAACACTCTAAATAAGCAATATCTGAATTTCACTGAAGCTATTTCCAGAGCTGCTAAGCACATCTAATAGCCTTTCAGCAGCACACCTGTGTTGGGCTCTGTGTGCAGCGAGGGAGTGTGGGAAGTAATTAGGTTTGCTCCTGAGGGGTCTAAGGATCTGTCATGAGCATCACAGGGTGTGCAGTCAGGCCATAACCTCCGTCACAGAGACAGAACAACTGACTTGGAGCTTGTTAAGCCACAGATTCATTTTATTTTTATTGTGCTGAATTTGTTTGAAGTTTCATCAAAATATTATAAAGAAGATGAAAACTGACACAAAACTGAGATTTTGGCACAATCCACAGCTGGAACTGTAGAGTAAATGGGCGATTCTGAAACTGCCACCCACTGTGATTCTCTCAGTGGGCATGACAATGACAGCAGACAGCATCTGGCCATGTGAAGGGGAAGATTGGTACCACTATTTCATAATGCTGCACGGCTCTGAGAGATTTTACCCAGGTAGTTTCTCAGAACTGTGGACAGTGCAGTCCCCAGAACATGTTTACCGTATAATTCTTTTTTATTGCTGTGCTGCACAATCTCATTCATCTTACCTCCTCTGCAGGCCTGGATGAAAAACATCTTTGGTTTGTTTTGTAGAAGTGGACAGTGTGCATTGTCAAAGGCCTCAAACACCCAGTCCAACTGAAATTGACCAAGTTAAACACAATTAGCATTAAATGTCAGAAAAAAGCAGTTGAATCTTTGTTATTGAATGACATACCATACATCTACACAGTAAAGTGTCAGACAAACTGACCTGGAGGAGTTTGCCATCTGTACCGTACACTGCCCCTTCCACTCCGTGGGAGAGCAGACACACCACACAGCTGTCCACTGTCCGGTGCTCTGGCCGTCTGGAAAAGTTCTCAATGCAGGTCCTCATACCCTACACAAGAATACGAACAAGAACAAGCATCAGCATATGTGGTCAAAGTCAGCGTTAACACAAACGCAACAATCTTTCAGTCCAAATTTCATAGAAGCTGTATTCAAACATTTTCATTCTCACTAATGGAAACACTCAACTTAGGGTCTGACTTAAAGTGTGCAGGATGACACCCCCTCACTAGCAATGGATTCATTAGACCATGATGTGCAGTAAACAATCAGGTTCAAGGCAGGATATGTGCATCTGGACTTAAATTAATTAAACGTGAAGTGTGTTTACTTTGTGACAAACCTCCCACCTTCCTCAGACAGCAGTGAAAGTGGGCTAACCAGAACAAATCCTACATTAAAAAAAACCTGTCTACACCATATCCCCAGTCTTTCTTAACTTAAACATTTCAACAAGTGACTTTCTCCAAACTGTGTCAGGTGAAGAGGTTGCTGAGGATCTAACATCTTCTTTTGTTTGGCCCAAACGTCCTTTCTTTAGGTTTATCAATAAATAAGATAAAAGTGTCACATTTCCAACATCCTGCAAAATCCATCATTTTACCTGAGCAGTGAGGTCTCTGTGCACAGCAACAATGTAATCCAGCTCTGTAAAAACCTTCCTGAGGACCTCATCATCCACCTCGCCACCTTTTCTAGGGTCAAGGTCAGGGGCAGCACAAGGGTCAAAGGTCACATTACTGATCACCAAGCCAAAACCACGAGGCGATGAACTCAACCTGTAAGACTGAATAAGAATGGAATGACCTATATAAGAAAATTCATACACAATAAGGTTTTTTGTTTTAATTTGTTTAAAACAAAAAAACCTTAACAAAGTGACAAAACCCAAAGATTAAATTTGCAATTTTTATGCTTGTTACATAAACATAGCTAAATGCTGAAGACATGCATTTTTAGGCGGTCGCAGTAAATCCAAACAAAACTGAGCACCTTTGCATGGGCTCAACTGACCCGCTGATGGGAAAACAAAATCGTACCTGCTGGCAGCGGGAGAGGTAAAAGTCAGGTGTGCAGGGTAGGACCGGACTGTTGATGGGACTGTCAGCATCCAGACTAAACTCCATGGATTCTGCAGCACATACACACAAACAATCACAAACTAATACAAACTGAACTATTCTTAGTCCTCATCACTGAATGGAGTTGTCTAACAGCAGAGTATCATGTTGTCAATGAGTCATTCTTGGGTTGTGGTGCCTGCAGGTAGAGACAGTAGGTACCTGCTAGAAAAACAACATTTCTACACTTTTTTCTATGATGTGTGTTTATAACAGTTCAAATAATCAACAGAATAACAGGAGACTAAAGGCCTAAAGTGGTCAGTGGCTACAGAATGGTTTTTTTTGTGACATATATATTAAATTGTCTTAACAATGAACAACACATAAAGCCTTTTGTTGAGAAACAACTTCATGTCTCCAGGGAAACAAGACTGACAACAACATTACACACACTGAAACCCATTTTGAAATGAACGCATAGACGCTCTGCAGCACCGCTCACCATGTGTCCTTGCTCTCTTGGCTGCAATTTCCTCCTGAGTTGGAAGTGGAAGAGAAGAGTCCATAGACCTCTGAAATTTAAAATGATACACAAATTATTAAAGACAGACCGTACAAAAAAGATAATGAAGGATTTTGTTCTATACAGTGGAAGCAGCTGTTGTTTTTGTAGGAATATGACATCTGCAGTCCTAGATTAAATATTTGGGAAACTCCTGCCTGCCTTTCTACTTCAGGTGGGCCATCTGGATATATATAATGAGATGGATGCATTTTGTGATTCTCACATCTGTCTGCATATCTGCTCCTCGTTTCTTTGTCCTCAGTCTCTGTTTGTTCCTGTCCTCAGCCCTGACTGTGGGTAAGTCTCTGACTGATGACTCTGAGCCAGGCCAGCTATCTGATGCCTGGACTGGGAATGATGAGGTGCTGCTCACCTCATACATTTCCTCTCTGTCTTCTGAAGATGCCTGCCAAACGTCATGTTACTGAAGCTTACAATTCCCAAAATATTACTCTATATAATCTTAGCATTTATAATTAAAGAAAAATCTATTAAAGAGGCATGAAAGGCGTTCAATGATGCAATGATGTCTTCTACTTCAAAAATGCCAAGAGTGACATTGCCTTCGATAATCTTAGGCAAGCTCACCTCTCTCTTCTTTTTTGTTCTTTCCATAACCAGCTGCCCTGCCTTCTCCTGTGGCTCCTCCTCAGGCTGAAAACTCTGTGAGCAGAAAGCAGTCTAAGAACTGCACTAAATCTGCTGTTTATACTGCTGCTGTGCGACATGTGTATGGTTGATGTCAAGTACACACTCACATCTGTGTGTGTCTCTCTGCCATCTTTCTCTGGTGATTTTATGAGCAGGTCGTAGAGGTGTTTCTGTTCAGTATCTTGAAGAGCTGAGCAGAAACTGCTGAAGGCTCTGGGTCCACGTTTTGGTAAGAGTAGAAGCAAACGCCAGCTGCGTTTCTGAGACGTTTGCTCTGCCTGGAGTAGAAGAGATCACATCGGAAACATAAAATTTACTAACAATGAATTAATTAAAAAATACATTTGGTTTTACTTTTTTTTCACCTTCTCAACATTATAACATTTGATTGTGAATTCATCCAGACACCTTAAACTTTAGATGTTTAAAGGTGGTCCTCAGACAGGACAGTCGGAAGTAAAGATTTCAACCTTGAGGGATTAAATCAAAACTTTCACAAATGCCTTTTCCACCAAATATAAGCCTGTTCTATGTTGATGCCTTTTGAGAAACAGCCGACAATTTGAAAGGTTACTATGCTGTAATTATTAGAAGTTGCAGTAAAATCATGGCAGACACAAACTATTTATTATGGCATCTCCTCTGACATTAGCCTGGCAATTTGTGGTGCTGTGCCAGTGCCAGCTTTCTGGCATTAGTTCTAGATTGGTAACCAGCATTGTGTCGGTGGAAAAGGGATATTAATGTCTCTGAAGGACGTTGCCCTGTGGTTCCCAGCTGGTTTTCTCTGGTAAACCTCTAAAATAGTAAGATCCCTAAGTCTTTGGATAGTGAGACACTAGACTCTCCAGTCTAGACTTTCAGTTTAAATCCATAAGGTTTAGCAAAAGTATTTTGTTAATAATTTAGGAAAGCAGACATTTCTTGCATTGTTACACATCTTTCACATGCTTGAAGTATTTAGAACAGGTGTGGCATGTTCCCTAATTATTTCAATTACCAAATCAAAATAATAAAAAGCATGTAGAGATTTTAAGTGCTGACTTTGCAGTTAGTCTATATATGCATCCAATGATAAATAAATATGAAGGGTTTTATTAGGCTGTAAAAACATTACATAGCTATTAAAAAAGCTTGCAGAATGACAGAATTAAAATGTGTTCAATTTTCATAATTATATTTTCCATTTCTGTGAGTCCGCTCAGGTCTGAATGAAGTAAATTTTGTCATCAGATGGGGAGCGTGAGTGGCCACGTGGACAGCCACGTGCCCGCCTGCATTTTGTGACTATGCAGAATCATCTGAGGAGAATTTACATTACAGTGAACCAACTATGTAAATACCTGAGGTGACGGACTTTAAAGAAGAATAAGAGTATACAGTTCGATTATACTTAACTAGAAAACCCAAAACTTCTCTGGGACAGATAAACCTAATTAAAGTGTACCTAAATCACAGCACAGAAGATAAAGGCCTCATTCAAAGCACAACTACTCATCACTGAATAGGCAGTGTTGATAATTTGCTGTGATAATAGATGTAGAAGGATCCATCAATCACATCATGACTGCTTTATTTCTAATCAAAAGCGTTAGCATGCTGAAAGAAAAATATTATACTATACTATAAACTATATCACTGTCGAACTTTATGGATTTGACTGTGAGAGATCTTTTTAATTGTAGAATTAATCATCTACTTTATTAACTACCTATCTAACTCGTGTTTTCTCTGCCACTGGAGCCTATACTAGCTGCCAGAGTGCAGAAATGGTGGTAGTTCCTGTAAAACTGCAGGAAACATTTCTGTAGTCACCTTTTACTTAACAGCTATTTCATGGGAGGGTTAGAGGTTCTGACTCCCACATACATTTAAACCACAAGCTAAAAACTGACCATAACCTTCAGCAAAGTTGCTGACAGCCAAGTTAACTTCAATTTAAGCAAACTGAAGGTAACTCAAAGTCACATAACTGTTAAGAATCAGCTGTCTCACTGTTAATATAGTAGTTATTATCCACATACCATAATGCTCTCTGCCATGCTCTCCGTGAGGATGTCTTCTGCCTGCAGTGACTGTATGAGCAGCTCATCCACCACCAGCTGTCTGCACAGGATAGCTGAGTTTCTTCGGAGAGCCTGCCTGTCCCGCTCCATCATGCCACACTCCAACATTTTTCCCCTCAAAAACTGTATCCAGAGCAGGTAACAAGATACACGAACATTGTGAACAATACAAGCATATGGACGTTTTTGTCCAACACTGGGAACAGTCACTTTATTAGCTTGGCTCCTCAGTTACACCCTTATAACAAAATACAACACAAGCGATAACGTTACCATGAGGCACTCTTTGAGCCAGCAATAATAAACCAGTAACAACAGAAGCTGAACAATACAATGGTAAACTCAGTAAAGTATCTACCAAATAATAAGATAAAGAGGAAAAATAATGGAAGTACAATATTAGCAATGTAAGTTTACTATGCTGAGTTACAATAAAAGAGAAGTTACGCTAATCTAAATGGTGTTGGGTGATGGTGATAAACGCTAGCTAACTAGCTAGCTAACTTCGACTTTCTCTGCACTGAAGTGGGTTTAATATGACTCCCCGCATCCCCACTACTTACCTCTCTTCTGTTCCTGCAATAGACTATCAACACACCCTAAAAATGAGCAAAATGTCTCCGTAAGTCCCTTTACTAAACGCAAACTAACAACATCCCGTCTACAAGCCACAGACGAACTTCCGCGGGGTAAACAGACCATCAGACTCTTCGAGTTTGATTCTGACCAATGAGAGCGGTGTACAGTTTGAGTGGCGTTTCAGTGAACCAATCGTTTCTTCTTTTCTTCTTAATGGCATCTTAACCGTACAGTAAACTGCTGTGTGAACAACAGAAATAAGGGTATTTTGAATTTGAATCTCATTTCAGTTAATAAGTAACCAATTGATAAGAAGGCAGGCACAAAGGCCTCTCGAATAGAGAGCTATTTAAAAAGGAGGAGTGTAAAGACACTTAAAGGTCACATATTTGCAGCAGGGTTGCTGCACACTCTCTATATGCTCATTTAAAGCTGAGGAGCACGAGCCAAAGAATTTCATTATGGATAAATGTGGCTACACTGTTTATCTGTACATGACAATAAAACTTGAAACTTGGGTTTAAAATTTGAGTTTGTAAATGAGCAATGGCAGGATAAGTTGTAATGTAAGGTCCTGCCTCCAGTTACAATCTGATATTCAAAACAACCTGATGTCAGTTTTTTAGTATAAAGGGGAAAAACAAGCTCCATTGATATTTAACAAATGTTAAAATACCAAATAATAAGAACTAAGAAATAATGAATTTATCCCAGATTTGGGAAATTATTTTGTTATAACAGTTCTGTTATTACAGTTCTGTACTTTTTCAAACAAACAAACAAAAATACAAAACTTGCTTCTAGCCACAACAAGAGGAACAGGAAATTTTGAAATATGATAAGGAAATTGAGACACACGTTTGCAGTGAGGGGGAACAAAATAAGTGTGGGACACACTAATGATAAAAGGTAGAGTGGACTTTAATCATACAGGGTGACAAAATGTGGTATGAAATTATCAGTCCGTAAGAGGAGGTGATTTGCTGCCTGTCCAGGAAGTGGTCATGATTGATAACAGTTTGCTCAGTGACTTCCACCACAGCTTCAGAAGTGTCCAGTTCAGTGGAGGTGCATCTTTTTCTGTCAGTCATATCCCTTATACTTGAGTACTCTATGCTTTTCACTCAACCATGATTACTTGATAGCTAAACCTATCTGTTTAGCTGTTTAAATATATAAAATTGACATTTTAAACAGAGCATTCTTGTATACATTGCAAAGTTTGTGTGTGAAAGGAAGCCACCTGTTTTCCTTTTTAAATTATTCTTTAATGTTTGCCATTGCAGTTCCCTCAAAGAGATATTTCACTTAAATGTCATAGCTTTATTTGAGCTGGTGATTGAAATTTAGAAAGTTAGTCCATCTGCTCATGAAAAAGCAATACTCAGAATAAAGTTTACAATTTTGAATCCAAATTGTTGTACCAGAGGTTTCTTTTCTTCTTTCCCAGTTCAGTAATAATATTACAAGCTCCAACGTTGAGAACCATGAACTAAAATAATAATTAGTGCAATAAAACCATACTAAATAAATCATTTTAATGAATAAAATATGACGAATCACATAAAACTAATGGAGGAACATTTCTGGTACAATTTATTCTTACTGGGCGTATTTTACAATAAGGCATCAGAGTTACACACACATTATGACAAACACAGAGACAGACAGCAACCATTAATGCATTAGAACCAACAGGTGAGTGCTTTGCATTGCATGTATTCCTGCCTTTCTGTTTTTCCTCGCTTTCTTACTTCCTTTTCCATCCCTCTCTCTCTGTCACTCCCTCCTTCACCCTCCCCTGCTGTCTATCTCCTCACCCTCACTGTGTGACCTGTCAATAATTGATGATTCTCACTGACTCAAAGGGTAGCAGGTCCGGGAGAAAATGTCTCACTCATTTCTTTATTTATTTACACGCCTATCTTTAAGCTCAGCCGGTCTGTGAAACTACCACAAGCGTCACTCGGGATCGATAGCGCGAAGCAGCGTGGAGCACCTGACCGTGTCCATCTTACAGTTAGCGGCGGCGGCTGCACCTGTGACCACGAGCGGGTTAATGCTGCCTGTCTGGCTGACAGCAGGACAGAGGCAGGAAAGGGAAGCTTAAATGAGTGAATGGCAGGGGGCAGAGGAGGAGGAAGAGGAGTGACAGAATGATAAAGTGAATTAATTCAACCTTAGCCAGCCCTGATTGACTCAGCACCAAACTGGCATGTACAAACATTCACAGTGATACCAAAGGCATGGAGAGAGAAAAGAGGAATGATATGTCCTACTCTAGAAAGAGAAGTTTCACTTTTGGGGCATATGGCAGGTAAGTAAAGACACTGTTAGTCTTAAATTAGGACTGGCATTGTCCTTGGAGCAGCGGCACAACCTGAACAAACGGCACTTTTTTTAGATTTAAGTCATCTTGTCTGTTTCTGCAGAAGTTTCTGAAAAGCTCTTACTTCCTTGTTTACAGTGTGGATAGATTCACATGTGGGGATGAGACGGGGTGAGGCTTTATTTTCCTCTCTACTGCAGCTTTTTCGAGTTAACATGTTAACCTTTCCTGTATAATGTAAGGAGTTACTAACTGTGCTGTCTTGCTGTGTAAACCAACCTGTTGCTGCAGACCTGAATTCGTGCAGGACAAAAGTCTGGACACCCTGGATTCTCCTACCAGTGAGCGCAAGCCTTTCCGTTCTTCCAGCAGCAACCAGAAGGTGCACTTTCTCGCTTTAATTTTAATTCACTCTAAGGGATGAATATCCATGTTCTACATTTCTAGAAGTCCGTTTAGAGAAAGACTGAAATATGAGTCATGTTCCTCTTCCTCACCCGTGCTTCTGCTTTCCTTTCTCTCAACTTGAATTTCACTTTTTTATATATATATTAGGAATCAGAGCTGTTTGAAATCATTGAGAAGCTGCAGGTGAGTTACAGTGTCCATCATTTTGTGCAGTGTGTGCATCCATCAATGCCTGAGCAGCAGATGTTTGTAATCACTAAAGCTCTTGTCCATCAGGGCAGCAGGATCGATGAGCAACGATGTGAATTCCCCCTTCCTCTCAAGGTTTCTCTACTTGATAGTAATAATAAAAAAGTGACACAGGCTCTGTACTGATGATAACAGGTGTTTCCCCAAACAAACATCAGCCCAATCAGATTCTTCTTTTTTGTGTCTGTCAGTCTCCACTTTCTACAACTGGGAGAGAGCTGCCGCTTATCCTTCCTTCGAAACTGGGAGGCTATTGGATAGACCCCCCTCTGGACAGACTGGTAGATGTGAGTCCCACCTCTTCCCATTATGCCGTTGACCCAGAGAGCTATGACATCATGGAGAGAGACGGTGAGGCCAAAATCTATCACGAGTTCTTCCGCTCACGAGTAAGTAGACTTTAACTGTAAAATCTATAGGAATATTCTTTCTGCATTGATATTAATGTTTTAACCCTTTTGCCACGCAGTACCATCACTCTTTCACAGCAGTGGATCCAACTTTGGGCTCGCTGGTTCTCTCTGTGTGTTTGGAGGAAGAGGAGAATAGGCTCAGGGTGATTCTAAGGTGATCTTTGGCTATTTTGGCTTACTGTGAGACATTTTTTATTCTAAGCTACAATGCAGCCAAAAATGTTTAACAGAAAATTGTGCTTCTCCTTAAATGCCCCCTCAGCTCCAAAATGTCTTTCTCCTAGGGTTATTGTGTAAACTTTCAGATTCATATGCTGAAAGAGGAATGTTTATCTGACTTAAATCTGATGTGAAGGTGTCATGGGACAAGCAGAATTTCATTTTAGAAGTCAATCCTGGTTTAATATGCAACTTTTACAAGCATAACAAGGTCATTTAAAACTTCCCGTGTGCATGCTGTGCATCACAAAAGATCTTAAAGTATCTCTGAAAGGAATCTTTAAGGTTTCTTTGTTATAGTTTATATGTTTAATGTAGAGTGTGGTTGATCAATTATTACAAGAAACTGCATCACAGAAAAGGAGGCATAATGATTGTGCTTTATGTCTCACAGGATGAAGGAGTGTTCTCTGCATGGAGTCTTCTCTGTGTCTCTTTTCCCCACCCTGCCATCTGCAGTTGAATTAGCAAAGGTATCAAACTTCTTACTGTATCATACCTATATTTCTATTTGGCAAAATAGTAACCACAAATGATAAACTATTATTTCAAGTAAAAGCATTAATTGTGCACATTCTGTGTATTTAAAGTACTTAAAAGCTTACATATGTGTTTTATTATTTTTATGGATGCACTGACATCATAATAGCTAAACGATGAGCGGCTAAGGCTAACTACTTTATAGACTGTTTATTGCCTTACATTCTACACTGAAAAATAAAGTTTTTACTGGACTCTATGTTGTTCTGTGAAAAATTAAGCACACCCTTGATGCTTCCATAGGAATTAAGACAGTAAGATGCTAAAACAATCATCCGCAAGTCTGACTTCCTCCATAAAACCATAACTTCTGGCCGTTTTTAGGTGTGTGTGTTAACACAATGACACACTGTTCCAGTAATGGACATGCCAGCAAATTCACCCCAAGGTCAGATTGTGCAATGCTCGTAGAAAAAAACCCCAAGAGTTATATCTCAAACTCTGCAGCCCTCAGCTAGCACATCAACTGTTAAAGTTCATGACAGCACAATTAGATAATGACTGAACAAGTATGGTTCATTTGAAGCATTGCCAGGAGAAAGCCTCTTCTCTCTAAAATGAACATGACAGCATGACTTAGGTTTGCAAAGCTACGGCTGTGTAAATCACAAGATTTGTGGAACAATATCTTCTGGACCGATGAGACTAAAATGAAGGTATTTGATCACAGTGCACAGTCCAGTGTTTGGCAAAATCCAAACACAACATATTACCTAAAACACCTCATGCACACTGTTAAGCACAGTGGCGGTGGGGCAATAGTTTTGCTTGTTTTGCAGCTTCATGCAGTGATTAAGTTGACAATGAACCCCTCTGTATGTAAAGGAGAATCAAACAGGCGGCCATCTGTCTGGTTGGCCAGTTAAAGCTACTGCAGGGCCATGCAACAAGACAATCATTTCAAACTCAGCAGCAAACCTGCGACATAAAAAAAAGAATAAAGGTGTTTCAGTGGCCCAGTCCAAAGTCTAGATTTCAAACTATGGAATGCTGTGGTGGGAGTTAAAGAGAGCTGTGCGTAAAGGAATGTCTCCAAGCATCCAAGAACTGAAGCAATGAAGTGAGAGTCTGATAAAGTCATACAGAAACTTCAAATCTTCAAATCACATCAAGTTGCTGCTGCTAGTGTGGTTCTACGAGCTACTGAGCAGACAGCACTTTTTGCAGTACTGCAGATGGTGACTGTAGCACTTTTTAATCTTGCAGTTTTTCTAAAAGAGTAATATATATGTAAAAAAAAAATGCAGCATAGTAAAAAGTATTGTTTCACTCTGAGAGGCAGCAGAAAACGGAGAAATAAACCAAAAGAAATGCTCAAGATACCCCAAAATCAAACCTCAGTACATGAATAAATGTTCTCACTTTCAAGCACCGAATACGTGACAAGCACTTATAATTATTCCTCACATTCTTTCTAGATGCTTTGTGACCGAGTGACTGCCTCAAAGTTTGACGTGGTCTGCTACCTGAAGGTAATATGCTCTGAAATGACTTGAAAAATTGACACATATTTCACATACGTCACAGGAGGAATGCCACAGGTGTCACCAAAAACAATAAGAATGGCTCAGTTAAACACAAACGAGTGTCCCAAACAGTGTGATGGTGAGCAGAAAGGTAATACAAAGAACCTGATGTGGTTTTTCTCCCTGTGCCTTTCCTACTGTGACATGTCAGCATGTTTTCTATGAAGCTCTTCGCTCTTCAACTCTCTCTTCTTCCTCTCTCAGGCTCCAGAACTTATAACCACATTTGATGAACACAGAGTTTCTCCTAATTTCAAGTTTGGTGTTTTGTGCCAAAAGGACAGGCAGGTAAGAACTGATGCTTTACTTCAAAATGCCATGCATTTTTATAAAAAATGGCTAAAATATGGCAGCATATCATAACCAATCCCTCTCAGAGAAATCCATTTCTCTGTAGCTCACTGAGGAAGACATACTGGGTAACAATGAGGAAAGTGAGGAGTTTAAAGAGTTCCTGTCTATTCTGGGAGAGACGGTTCAGCTGCAAGGATTCACGGGGTAAAGTATGCTGACAATGTGAAGAAGTGACACAAGAAATGTGGAAAATCACATGGTTTCTTCTCTCCTCGCTCTTTTTCTCAGCTTTAGAGGAGGACTGGATGTGTGTCATGGTCAGACAGGAAGTGAAGCAGTCTACACTTCCTTTCATGGGAGAGAAATCATGTTTCATGTCGCAACTAAACTGCCTTACACAGAGGGTGACCCACAGCAGGTCATTAATCACATCATCCTCAGTCTGTTTGTGCTGATGATTCACAGGAGAGTCTCTCTGAGGATATTATGTGTAGTTAAGTTTATGTGGGGAGGGACGAATCAACTTATTTTTAGACACTAACCAACATTTTTCTCATCACCCTGCACAGCTACAAAGAAAAAGGCACATCGGTAATGACATCGTAGCTTTGGTCTGCCAGGAGGGCCAAACCCCCTTTCTGTCTGATGTTATCAAGTCTCACTTCCTTCACTGTTTTATTGTCGTCCGGAGGATTCAGAGGCAAGAGGAAACAGGTGGAGCAGCATATCAAGTAAGTGGGCAAAATACATCCCCATCAATGCAAATTGAATAAATTCACCATATTTGTAAAGGAATATAGCAGCTGGGTGGCCCGGTGATGTAGTGGTTGTGTGGTAGTGCTGGTGTCTTACAGCATTAACACTGACATTTTTGCAAAGCCATTGTTGTTACTTATATGCTGCCATATAGATACAAATATCCATTCATCCATCCACCCTAACCAGAGAATTCCAGACCTCCCTCTCATCCAGAGGTACACTGAAGGGAGGTATCCAAATTAGATGCCTGGACCACCTCAGTGCGGAAGAACGGCAGCGCTGCTTTCAATCCGTCCTGAACGACTGAACGACTGGGCTATATTTGTTAGGAACTTTTGAACCTGACTGGGTCTTTCTAGGGAAATTTCTTCTTGTTGGGGAACCAGACAAAGAGCATTTTACACAACCCCGATGAAGAAAAAATCATCAGGTACCAGAATACTATGTACCTTGGGAGGAAGCTCAAAGGAGCTAGCCTGATGACCAGGCTTTATCCCACGGGGCCCACTCTGACACTCAGACACAGCCTGAACAGGCAACACGGGCTGGCTGACCACCTGCAGGAGGCACTGTAGAGTACAGGTTTAATGACTGCTGGGTGGCAGTCAGGGGCGAATGCCCTGGCAGTTTGAAAACCAGCTGATGAGACTAGCTGTTGATTCAAATATATCTGTGATAAACTGACATCATGCAACAATCTCTGCTAATCTCTGCCATTTTTGTCTTCTGCAGGTGTCTGTCACGGCAAGAGAAGATGTTCCTCCCTTTGGTCCAGTGCTTCCAGATCCCCCTGTCTTTACAGATGTAAGAAAAAACAGAGCTTCATCTGTCTCAGTATACTTTGTTTATGTGTTTATTTATTCTTTAATGCAACAGCTACAGCCAATTCATATTTTTTTAGGTATATTGTACTTTATTTGCTTTGTCAGTAATATTCATTTGATGTCCACTGCGATTTTCTCCCAGAAATGTCAGTGGACGTCAAATGTTTAATAGCTTTTGTTGCTTCATCTCTGGATGGCAGAGCTTGCTACAGAAATGAAATCTTCCTAATTTTCTTCCTACTTGCTTGGTACTGAGGGGCCCATTGCATGCTATGAAAAGATTTACATAATAATTTGAGGTCTCACAAGATATTTAGAAATAGGAGTCATGCTACGTAAGTTGAGAGTAAGTGGCCAAAAGATCTACAACAATTTGTGATGCATGAAAAAGGTAAGAAGAGTTCATCCTTGTGTCAACAATTCAGGCTGATTGAGCTGATAGGAAGGCAGCAGTAACTCAAATAACCACTAGTTCAAAACATGGAGGTCCAACCTGGCAGTGGCAAAGTGGCCCTAAAGTGTATACTTGCTGTCCAGACTAGGGCTCTAGTGGACAAACCTTCTTCAGTGGAGACATGTCAGTTTGACTCGTCACAGTGAGCACAGGTGTAAATAGTAATATGATGGCTGAAAGTGGTTTCAGAATTCTGGTATTTTGTGGTTCATTGCCACACTGTCATGGCTTTTTGAGACACTAAAACAGAGCTTGTGTTACTAGTAACTCCTGCACCTTCCTTACAGGTCTAAATATGTGCTCTAAAAAGACACAGCTTAACATGTCAGTCTAACCTTTGTCTTGCCTTGCTTTGCTCCTTTGGACGTCATTGACCATTCAGACTGCTTGAATGCGAACACACCTTGATTTAATTAGTGAAAGGTTGCTTCTGCTCCACCTGCTCTCTGTGTCAGTCCTTTATTTAAGGGAGCTCAGTATTTACCAGTATAATCAGTGTGTGAAATATCTCACAAGGTTTGTCTTCCTTTGTCCTTCCTTTAGCATTCAAAGTTCAGAGAGTTTCTGCTGGCTAAACTCATTAACGCTGAGATATCCTGCTATAAGGCTGAGCAGTTCAGCAGACTGGAGGTAGATGGAGGAACACTTTTCCCTAATGCACTTCATTATTGAATATCTGTGTTTTTTATTCTTCTGACTTTGACCTCTTCCCTTTGCATTTTCCCCTCCTTCACTCATACAAAGCTCCGCACTCGTTCATCACTCCTGGAGAACTTGCAGGCTGAACTCTTCACCCGTTCCCAGTGCATGATGGGGGATCAATCACTGATTGCTGTCCCCACTTCAGAGGGCCTGCGGGGGCCATCTGAAGGAAGTGGGGGATTTATTGAAAACTTTAAGGTGAATGTTTGTATTTCTCTGAAATACTTGCATGTTTGAATTTACAATTTTAACTAAGCGTTCTTACCTCTGTCTCCTGTACCAGAGAGCCATCAGAGTGCGGAGCCATTCTTTTGAGAATCTGGGGGTCCCCAGGAAGAATGCTAGCAGCACATCGCAGAAGGCTAAGGTAAAAAAAAGAAAAAGAAAGAAAAAGCTTGCTGTGCAATGGAAACTGTTTGAATAAAGTCATAAGATTATTCATACTAAATGCACTGATGTTCTCCTCTACCTTCCTTGACAGACAGAGAAAGATGGAGATAGGTGAGACTCATAAAAATATTCTAAAAAATTAAAATGTTCAGTTGTGTATGAGCTGAGGAAGTAAAACAAATCACTTTTTGTTCTTTTTAGTGACAAATCTTCAGGACCTCTGCCTGCTCCCACTGACAGTTTGGGGGCAGCTGAACTCAAAGATCAAACAAGTCCTCAAGAGGAGATATAAAAGCAAAAATGTACTTGTAGATTTTAGACATGAATATAGACATTGCTGGCCTGTATGGTTAGACTTTAAAATCCTGGTGGATGACCTGTATGTAAATAGACTGTAAAAGTAAATAGTTCTGAATGCATAAAATATAATTATATGACTGTTATAGGAGTGATATTCTAGATTCATGAGAATCGTTAAATTTAAATGTTTTGACTTAAAACAGATGACAAGAGTTTAAATGATAAGACAATATCAGGTTTATGCCAGAGACTGAATTTGCAGGAAGGCAACACGATATAATGAATTAAATTAAAACTGAACATAAAATGTAGAAAATAAATGGTTTGTTTTAAAGACCAATAAAATGTACCGGTAATTTGAAAAATCAGTTACTATTGTCAGGTGTTGGCTGTGTGCAGGTCTGGAGGACCCACAGTGCAGACTCCGGAGACAAAACGTGAACTCAAAAACAGCTTTATTGCTCAACAGAAAAACCATACAAAACCTAAACTGGGAAAAATCCTTGGTTATTTTTGATGTCTTAAATATACAAATCAACCAACATAAAGCACAAATACAGCATCTGGATAGAACCAACCTTTTAAATATTGTAAAAAATTGATAAATTGATAAATTGACCACTCACACCAAATCGTCACTTGAGTGTGGTGGTTGTGGATAAAAGCAACACATGCACAATAAAAACTGTTTCTAAACTGATTTTAACAAAGTGTGGCAAGAACACTGGAATAACAATGAAATGAAGCAACAAAATAAAGGGACGTGCTGTTCTGTCCTGGAGTGATGATGCAGGTAAGGAGGCAGAAGGAGGTGAACTGTTACTGCATAATATATAAGATTGTTTGATTCGAATAAGATATGCAAGAGTCCGTCAAATAAAACTGCACTAAATAGGTCATCACTTAGTGTATGCACTCAGCCAGAAAGAAGAATATGTGATGAGAAGCAAGATTGGCAGTACAGGAAGTATTCAGATCTCTTACATATGCAGAAAATACTCATTTTTATGCATAAGTTAAAAAAAAAAGTATTTCAGCTATAGTGCACTATATGGCATAACTATTACATGCTTATGCTTTAATTCAGTGATGTCAAACTCATTTTATATTCTGGGCCACATACAGCCCACTTTGATCTTGAGTGAGCTGGACCTGTGAAATTCCCCTTGCTGTCAGTGTAAAGAAGTTTAACTATATATTCAATCCATTATAAATCAGCATATAAGTAAAAAGTGCGTTTTCAACACTAAACCTCACTTCTTCTAAATAGTAAAGAAATGCTGCTGCAGTAAATGAACTGTCATCATGACTTTTCTGGCTTAAACTGCCAGTCTGTAAAGTTCTGTAATTAGATGTTTTTTTAATTATAAAAGACAAAGTTTATTCATAGCAAAAAAAAAACAAAAAAAAAAAACCCGGACATTTTTATAGTAGATATATATTAGATAGTGGAAAACTGGCACTTTTCTGTCATTTATTAAATATCTATTACTTTATTCCTTTGTTGTCGCATGAATAGCTATGGAAGAGGTGTTTATCAGTAGGAAAAGGTGTAAAACTTGTGAAAATACAATAAAAAGTCAAAAATGTATGTCCTTCTTCAGATTTTCTAAAGCAGTACAATGGGCCGGTTTGGAGTATTTGCCAGGCCCCCGAGCCTTATGTTTCACACCCGTGCTTTGGCGCGTAAGTTTGTAATCGTCATGGTTGTCTTTAGGGTTATCAGAGAGTGAACTACTGCTCGAAGTCGGTAGGTGGCAGTAATGCACATGTAGGCTGTCTTGCCTGCTAAGCATTCAAGAAGAAGAAGCCCGTGCGGAAGGCTTTTGGCTGTTCTGTACCACCTGATTTGTAGCTTTTAGAGCAGGTAGGCGAAATCATTTCGGTCCCCCTTGTGGTCAGACACTGCTACTGAGCTTTTTCGTTATTTATCTAGCTCAGGCTAACTCCTGCTATCGTTTTTTAACTCCGTCTTTAACACCATTTAATATAGCATCGGTTGTAGCTAACTGTTAAAAACAACGAGTGGTTTCTGCTCGCGGTCTTTGCTGCGATTAGTTTTATTTCTGCTAAGCCCGAGCAGCTCTGCTTCAGGTTAGTTGAACTTTGACACAGTGAACATTGCTCAGAGGCTGCCCCCAAAAACTAAACACTCCTTGAGAATTATTCGCACGCTGCCGTTAAGGTTTTTGTTGCTCTTCATTTAAAGCTCTTGCTAACAACTCAAAGAGCGGCTGCTGACCCCAGGATGACCTCCAGAAAAGTTGTGGAGTTGTTCTACGATGTAGTTTCTCCGTATTCATGGCTTGGTTTCGAGGTTTGTGCCGTCTTGATGTGCACCACAGCATCAGATCGGTTTGTTTAGGAGATGCGCAAATATCTCATGTGTTTGCAGGTCATGTGCCGCTACAGAAACGTTTGGAACATCGACCTCAAACTGCGCCCTGCGTTTCTGGGTGGCATCATGCACGGAGCGGGTCAGTAAAGATCAGACAGGCACCTGTAAACCTGCTGCAGGACACGCTGCACGGTCAAATCCGGGTGCGCACTGACTCTGTTTGCTCTCACATTTCTCTTTCTTGACAGGCAACAAGCCTCCTGGTTTGGTTCCTAACAAGTTCGCGTACATGACAAAAGATCTCAACCGCTTGGCAGAATACTTCAGTGTCCCCTTGCAGTCGCCTGCTGACCCCTTTGAGGTCATGTTCCAGAAAGGTACAAGCAGAATCAGCTCTATAATGTCTATTGATTGGACTATTAGACCCAAGCTATTTGACCCTATTAGACCTTATTTGACCCCTAAAGACATTTTAACTGAAGCAATGACGCTTGATTTTGACAGAAGTTCCACATTTAAAGAAAAACATAAGTGTCTACTACTTTTTGTTGTTTTTTTAAGGGGGGGAAACATGCAACTAAAACAGATTATCTTCAGATATGGGAAACTGAACTCTACTATTCTTAACTCCCAAAAGTTTGGGTAAGTGATAATGTCGTAGTCATGACTTGTGACATGGTGTTAAAGCAACACAAAGCAAATTTAATTTAATACTTTAAAACACTTGGCTGTGGCAAAACAAGCTGTAAGCACAACACAATATACACTTGACACTTTATTAGGTACATCTCACCAGTACCAGATAGGACCCGCGTTTGCTTTGAGAACTGCCTTAATTCATAAGAATTCCTCAAAGATTTTGGTCCATGTTGATCACACAGCTGCTGCACATCCATGACGTGAGTCTCCAGTTACGCAACATCTTAAAGGTGCTCTATTGGATGACGTCTGATGACATTTCAAGAAACCAGACAAAACCAGCTCTGGTAACAAGAAGATATTTTCCCCCAGAGAACTACCGCTGTCATATTTTCTTTTTTTTTAGACCATTCTCTGTAAATCCCAGAAGATCAGCAGTTTGTGAAATACTCAGACCAGTCTGGAACCAAAAACCATGCCACATTTTAAGTCACTTAAATCACCTTACTTCCCTATTCAAATGCTCAGTGTGAACTTCAGCAAGTTGTCTTAATCATGTCCACGTGTCTAAATGCATTGAATTTCTGCCATGTGATTGGCTGAATCAATATTTGCAATGAATGTGTGTACCTAAGAAAGTTTACTTCCCTTTTTATAGAGAGCCAACAATTCCAGATACTGTTGTATGGTTCATAAGAAACCCTCCTTCAAAATTTTTAATGATTTTCACCAAAGATCGAATAAAGAACTGCAGATTAAGAGATTTACTGAAATATTAGGCTTGAGATGTGACATCTCATGATTTTGTCAATAGTGGTTCAGGTAACAGATGCATGTTAGTGCCCTTTTTTTTTCCTTCTTCTTCTTCTAGGCAGCTTGGCTGCAATGCGATTTGTGGCAGCAGTGCAAGAAAAAGAAAAGGATGGAGAGAAGGTGGTGAATGTGTCCCGTGAGCTGTGGAGAAGAATCTGGAGTGAAGACAAAGACATCACTGAACCTGCGTCGCTGTCTGAGGTGCAGACTCTTTAAAATCCTGGCTGCATTTAAAACAAAATTAAGAAGCACAATTTAATTTTGAGACTTTTTGTGTTTTTGCAGGCAGCAGTGAAAGCTGGATTGTCTGAAAGTGAGATAAAAGAACTGTTGGCCATGTCCACCTCAACGCAGGTCAAAGAGAAGCTTAAAAGCACAACACAGGCAGCTCTTGATTATGGGGTCAGTTGTCCTTCAGCTCCTCTTGTAGATCTAGCAAAGTGAAAAACAAACAAACCTTCAGCTATAACCCAAATCTCTCCTCCTAAATCCTTGTCAGGCTTTTGGTTTCCCCATGATTGTGTGTCATGTTGATGGAAAGCCAGAGATGTTCTTTGGATCTGACAGATTTGAGCTCATGGCCCACTGCATCGGTGAGAATACGATTCTACCATCTCTACAAATTTACTATCAAACTGGCTCAAGTAAATGGAATAAAATGACACCTTAACTTGTAGTCAGTGAAAGACTTTGCATACTTTTGGCTCTTTTAGTAATTCTTTATAGCTGAATATTGAATCGATATTAAGGAATCAATTGTCACTTATTTTTTGAACTTGTTGCTCTCTAACAATTAAAGTTATTCTAGTTTTGTTTTTATTGTAAATCACCTATGATTTCAAAATTACAAAAACAAACAAAAAAGTGCTTGGCACTCTGGCAGTGGCACTACTTTTCCTTCTTATTGTTGGCAGTTTCTTATTCAGTCACATTTTGTTCTCTGTTTCAGGAGAGAAATGGCTGGGACCTCAACCCAGCAAATCAGCTGCCAAGCTGTAAAATGAAACCTGTTTTCATCTAAAGAGGATTTGCTCACAGTTTTGATCTGTCATTAAGTTCCATCTTTCATTTTTCTGGAATTAAAATCCCAGTTTTCCAAGTTGTGAAAGGCTCTGTCAGTGGCAGTAACAAGTTTCCAAACTGGTACTGTTGAGATATGCGTATACATATGACTTTTTTTTTATGTTAGTCATAAAAAACCCTAATAACAACAACAACAACGAATGTGGGTGTAGATTTGGTCACATGATGTGTGTCTACCAGGATCAACCAGTGTTCACAGACCTCAGTGCTCATATTTTGACATATCATGTAATCTACTGCTAGTATTGTGATTAATGCATCAGACAATTGTGCTGCTAATTATGTGCCTAATAAAAGCCTTTGAAATACAAGAAAAGTATTTTTGGCAGCTTGTACTAAACCTTAGTATTATTCTTATTATTATTATCATTATTATTATTATTGTTATTGTTACAGTAATATTCATGGTCCCAGCTGATACTTTTTTTTTCTCT